TATAGTAAAAAGAGGTTGACGAATTTTATGAGGTTCATATTCTGATTCAGAGATTCATCTACTTCAAGCTAATGAAGCACGCGTCAGGTCCCTCCTGTCGTGATTCCCTTCCGTGGAAAGAGTCTGAAAGGCTGAGTGATGCAAGAACAGTTTCAACCCTAAGCACACGGCCTGTAAGATATGAATGGATTATTCGGTGGAGATGAGTGGATGATTGTGATGCTCATGAACAGACAAGGGGAATTCTCATCTGTTCTTATTTACGTTTTGCGTTGGGACCTCGATACATTTCAAGAATTCTCTAAATGTCTGACTTGTATAGTTAAGCGACATGCACAGTAATTGTGGTTGAAAACGTTACCTCTGCCAGAAAGTAGTAAGTTCTTCATTGTGGTCTGGTAGTTGGGTAGTTGGGTCCAAGGTAAAATTGACGATGAGCTTATGTCCCGGAAGTTTCGGGTGGAGGGCGGGTTTCGTCCACTTCTCTTTCGACAATGGTGTTTTTTGTAAATGTTCCCTTATATATTGTCCTGTTAAAAAGCTTCTGTTAGAAAATTGGCTTTCGTTTCCAATCGGGCCAGGTTCTAACGATCATTGCCTGTTGTGTCATTGCAAATGAAAGGCTTATGTACCGGTACTGTTTGTTTCCTCTATCTGCATTAGATTACAAAACACTTAATTTGTTTTTGCGCGCAGTAAGAAATGAAATGACTGAAGACGCAATTGATATGTGGCTTATCCGAATGGCACATGGTTTCATGTGCTGGATTTCAATATTGATGTACTGAATTAATTCGTATTGCGGCTGCAATCGCCATATGCGAGCCAGATGCTATATCAATCGTTAGGGAGAAGAAGGGAATCTTTAAGCACCACCAAGATTAAGTCGTTTTTTTTGAATTTGCTTCTTATACAGATATAAACATTCGTGCATTATTCATTTGAGAAAACGTAAGTAGAATGAATTAAATTTAACGCTTCACGATTTAGTGATTGCTAGAGATGTTTGTTTTGTAGTATTGTACACTGTGCTCTATATATTTTACATTGCTATGCTGTATCATAAAAAACTTCATCCATTTATAGGGCATTTTGTTGCTGTGTGCGTTGCTGTTCGTTTTGGCGCCGTTGAACCTGTTGTCAGAGATCTTCGTATTTTCAAGAAGGCTGCTGCGGTATCTGCCATTCGTCGTATTCCAAGGGATAATAACGGGCTTGGCGCTGGCGTTCGTGGTCATCTACGGCGTGTTCATCCTGCTGGAGATTTCATCGATTGGTACTCCTGATTGGCTTCTTGGTTATCCGTTCTCCAGCCTTACTTTGCTCATCATTCTTAGATCCTTTCGAAGAAGCACTTCTTTCACCGTTTCATTTCAATCTTTACGGCTTGACGGTCGCGCTGAAGCCAGCAGTGCTTTGGTGGTACCATTTTTTCGGCGTGCTCTGGACCGTCGAATTCATTTTCGCCCTGCAACATATGATGTACAGTTACAGGTTATCGCAGTGGTACTTCTGTAGGTAAAACTGTTCGCGTTAAACTTTATTTGTTTAAGTGTCCTCTCCGGGGCACGCCAAATATCTAGTTTCTCCAGTAATAAGACTAAGTCAAACTATATGTAACATTTGTTTACATAAATGAACGAATGCGAGTTGAGACCAGTGTAGAAATCTCTCGTTGTTCTATTGATTTGTAAGTGATGGTTCTCATGAATCTTTAATCACGTTTTCTAACTCGGTTTCCCGTTTTCAAGGTAATTTCTGTCCATTTTTCTTCACTTAGTTTAATCTAATGGCGTCTGACCTCGTGGATTATGGAGTGTATAGTATGTAGTTCGGCTGACGGTTCTTCATTGATGCAGACAACAGGTTTTGCGACGGATACTACTGTTTTTGTGTAAGTTCTGTCGAGGACTATTATCGGTATAGTCGAAATAGTTTCGTGTCATCTGTCAAGCAAGTAAAACAACATTCGTACTATGTATTTTCAGTCATTTAGTTATCTATTTTCAATGCCAATGGGTAGTTCCTGCAATAGGCTTCTCCGCTGGTCTCGTTTTGCTATGAACTGAACAAACACAATATGCCTAATTATTAGGTACCCAGTGTTATGCCCTCTTTATAATCGAGCCATCTCTTCCAAGTCTATTTTTTGCTCAGCCAAATGAGTCTGGAAGTTTCTTCTGTGATGTCTGAACTATGTTTTCTCAATTTCCAGGGAAAAATTGGCTCACAATCGAGGACATCTATAATTACGATGTAATAACCATGTCACGTCTCGCCGTATCAACAATCCATTGGAGAAAAGAGTATTTCTACGAATAGTCATTCGGCTTATGAATCTGCATTTGAGGCTCAGTCCGTCTGACTGTGGTAACTGAATAATTAGGTAAGGTTTTTACGAGATGACGCCGTATGTCGAATTTATTATATACACATTCTTTCTCGTTCTGTGTTCATGCTCGGTCCGTTTGAAAGAAGAGATATAATGTGATCAGAGAATGTTGCAGTATGTGTAGGTACAGCTAGATAGCAATTTCACTCTGGAAGTATTAGTCGTTTAGTTTTTTCATGACTTCATTTCAATGCGAACTTAATTGATTTGATTGAATTACCAGGATTTTCTTTACTTTTCCTGCTTTATCTCTCTCTCTCTCTGTCTGTCTGTCTGTCTCTCTCTCTCGATGTATTTCAGTCATTTGGTCCCATAATATGTATTGTCGTTATTGTGCTGCATGTTCCAGAGCCACCGAGATTTTTCACATTCCTTCTGTACCACCTATGGAACTTTCGTTTATCTTCGCGCATTTCTTATCTGTACTTGTCCATTCTGACATAGATCGATGATCCACCGGCTGGTCACGTTTTTGGGTGTTCTTTCTTCTTCGTTTCTACGATGTTGTCGATTTTTCTTATTGACTGCACTCGTTAGATGGGGGGTGAAACGAACCTTGTTGTTTAAATTTTGGTCCAATAATATTTTCACATATGTCAGTTGGCTTCGTAGTATTTTTGGATCTCACTATCAGCGGACGATACTCAGCGGCTTCTCATTTACACATTGTGCCTATGCAACAAGAATATTAGTGTTGTAATTCTGTTGGTCACTCTAGTACTTGCGTCGCAATTTTTCTTTTGGTGGTTGTTGAGTGCTTTTTCTATTAGCCGTGGAAGGTAGTCATAACTTGTGAGGGCTCTTTGAACGTTAGCCTGTTTCTTTTGAGTACCAGCGTCGTCTGAGCTCAGTTCACTGCATCTGCTGGCTGTAAGGGTGCTTAAATGCTCGGAGTTTAAATCGAACGCCAGTAACTCACTGTGTGTGTTGGCCCGTGAAACACCGTAGTAGCGTACTTATTGTTTTCTCTCTCATGATTTGTGCTAGCTGCATGATTACACATAAACATGGTTAAAGGAAATGAAAGATTCTTATTCATGTTCTTATATTTACGGCGATACGTTTTCGAAAATCACTGAACCAGTTTATACGGAGATTTGCAGGATTCTTCAAATCGGTGAAGCAGTTTCGCCCCTTCAGCAGTACTTGATGAGTTTTGCCGTTGTAGCCAAGTATCATCTGGGATCCGTGGTCCTCGGTTCGTTGTCTCTGACATGTACCAAAGTGCCACGGATCGTTCTGATCACTGTACCTCGGCTGTAAGTCGAAAGCGCTGATCGCACACATGAAAACTGATTGCCTGCTCACATGTGCTTCTCTAGACTTGCTTGTTGGTCTTTCATCACCTTTGGAAAGTTTCGCGACTTTTGCAGCCGACTTGCAGTTTTTTCAGACAACCTGTTTCGCTTCTTCAATCCAAATGCTTACTTGGTCACGGGTAAGCTTGATTTGATGCACTGTTGTTGACCACTTCGTTGTTTACTTGCATTTCAGCTATGAACGGCAAAAGTTTTTTCCAGGCTTCTCTACAGGTACGTACACTTGATAAAATGCCTCTCTCTGATCGTTTATGAAACTCTCTGAAGGACATCCTGATGACTGTCGTAATTGATTTTCACTAAATAACAGAACCTTTCGAAGTACGTTTACAAGCTGTCTCGCAAGAGCACATTTACCATCACCGTTCTTATATTAAACATTTATGGCTAACTGATACTACTTACATGAGTACTTTAAGTGAAGTACGTGAGTACTGGCAATCAGTTGATGACTTGTTTCTTATTTAAAATTATTTCGTCTCTTTGTGGCACCATTTAGCTTCATCGCATGTGTACTGCATTTGTTCGAGTAGGTTACACGGTATAGTAGATATCTTGAAACAGTGAATGTTTTTCTGTATCATGTTAATAGTATCTGTTCAGCCCCAGGTACTGAAAAAGCATACGGATGAATACCTTAGATTTCGTTTTATAAAACCGTGGATCTTATGTCTACTCTGACACCTAAATAAACACGGAGAGTTCCGAAAGTTCTGAGTTTCGCTTTTACGTTGTGCTTGCTACATGAGAATATGTATAATCGTTGTTTTCGTCACGTACAATTGTTTCTATAACAAGAATTCTCGTAGGAGAGGTAGAGGGACCACACGACTATTGACGGCCAGATCTGACAACGTATAGATTTACCCCCTTCCCCCATAAATGCCATCTTTGTAAGTCTTACCACAGTAACCTTAATATGCCTGCTTCTTCGACACGAGTCTGTAATAACCCCGCTTCTGCTTCTTCTAATACAAAGGATGAACTGAAAATTAATCACAGGTGCCTTGTTCAAAGGGCTATTATGGTTTGGCGATGGAAGCAGTGTTTAAGTCAGCAAAAGACGAAGCATTTTCAACCTAATATAGCCAGCCTAAGCATAATCGTTACCAACCATGTGATAAATCACAGGTGATAACTCGATAAATTGTGTAATAGTCAAAAGGGGTTGTAAGGTTTCCAGACCTGCGTAGGTCAAAGGAACCTGTCTGACCATTCACATGTATCATACCTGTGTTGCTATGCTTCGTAAATTATTTTCTAGACTCCTTTTTTGTCACTTGAAAAATTTAAGTCCGGGATACCGATTTTCCATTCTGATAACCTAGTTCTCTGTCCTGTACAGGCTATTCTTTAAAGTGTTCAGTTAAGTTGTGTTATCCACCGCATGAGATGCCGTTTTAAAACAGCGAGGATTTCTTCTGCCCACATCCACGTGACAGCATATTTCCTCTATCTTCTTGAGCAGAATTCTGACAGATCTGCAATCCTATTTTTAGCGTGCTTCCTTTGTGATTGAAGCAGAAGAACTATTTTTCCATATTTCGGGGAGGGGGGGGCAAAATCTGTTTGTTATTGTTCTTTACGTATTTCTTGACTTTTTCAAATATCTGATTCTTGATCATGAGATATATGAAATATGATTTTTCTCATTCTAATTTCATTTCATTTGACTTCTTAAAATGAAATCGACTACTGGTGCCTCAGCAAATCAGCTCGATGCACACAGATTTTTGGATTACATGGTTGGCAGGAACAAAGATCAAAGTAAATCGTCTTCCGCACTGCTGCTTCGGTGGTTGCTTGGAGGAAGAAGGCACGCCGAGTCATCCTCTGCACGTACAAACCTTTGTCACGGTTTGCCATGGGACCAGCTATTTTGTGGGCTGCGCATTTGGTCTTGACGCGTTTGTTTATGACTTCCAAACTTTTTTTTACACTGTTGCGTCAGCTTGCTCAGCTGCTAAACCCGGTGATTGTCCTACAGTAGAACATCCAGTCTTCGAACGTCCATAAATAATTCTTTAGTTGATTAATGACTACCGCTTTGTGGGAACGAAAACAGAAAACTGCGTACTTCAGTGTTCGTCTAGTTTTACATGCGGTAAACTCGGTCCGTTGTCAGAATAACTAATATTGTAACTATGAAGACGGACGGAGTTTGGTCCAAATCAGCAGTTTTTTGTTTAAAATGACTGTATGTTTATGTACTGTTTTCTCTTTCATGAGATTCTGAAACTCATGATCATCTCCGGTGTAAACATTAAATACAACTGTTTACTATCTCCACATTATATACCAGTATCTTTCCGCCTATAGAAATGCAACTAATGGGAAAATACAGTCAAGTTACGTATGTCCAGATTTTCTCGTAATGCATGAGTTTTGGTGTACGCTTGGACGTAATTATTAGCGGGGAATTTTAAACGTATGAACTGACCTGTACGTGTAGCGCATTTAGTTGCAGGTGCATAAGGATTGTGTTTGTAGAGACCGGCAAGGGTTTGTATATATACTTATTTATATCAGGTGTACCCCTGTATTTACATACGTGGATTTGTCGCTCCGCGCGTTTGACGGACCGGCCGGCATTTCATTAGGGTTTGACCATGTAACATTTCGCTGAACTTTTTGTAATAAGATACGGCTTATTTCAAATCTCATTATCTTTCTCTTTAACGAGTGACTCCTCCAAGACCAAATTTCAGGGCTATTGCACCGCCACATAATTGCCAAAGTGGCGATTTAACATACCACGGCTCCTTAGTATTTGAGCACCTGCAGTGCCAGATGTATGTCGCATGATTTAATCCCTTACTGCTGCTTCGTGCTCATCACGGAGGACGTTTTAGGAGCTGTTACTCCCTGTATGCTTCCGCATAAACAGTTGTTCGTACGCCCCGCTATGTGAACATCATGCGGCCGTAGTTGATGCGAAGTGACTCTAGAGGACAAAATGATGCGAGATGCAGCTGGAACTGCAGGTGCTTTATAATTATGGAGCCGTAGTCTGCCAAAGTTGCCTTGTTGGCAATTATGAGCAATGGGACAGGGTAATACGCCATGAAATCTTGTCTTGAAGAAGTCATTAATTATTTGACATATTCGGGCGCACGAATAGCTTATGATGCTTATGAGGTATCTTTATCTTATCTTACCCTGGTTCCCATGCGCACGTTCCTCTGTCTCGTATGATTTGTTACCACAGACTTCTATATCTCTTTTTTAGCTTATTGCCCCATCTGAAACGAGATCTTCCAGCTGACGTCATTTCTAAAGACAATTATTGTCGTTTCTTTCTTTTGAAATTCACACAACGTCCTGCATTTCTGTTATCTTCTTATTTCTTCATTTCAGAGTGTGTCCCTGATGGAAATTCTTAGCGTCGTTCTTTCTGTAGCCCGCTCACGAACTCATAGCGGTACTTCATCTTCTTTCCTAAATGCCCAGGTTTCGCAACCATTTTAAGCAGTCGGCAGTACTTCGCTTTCATCCACTGTGGTTCTACCCGAAATTGATTATAGCATTACATATATTTCATTTTGATTTAAGATTCATAATTTTATGGTTTATTGCATTATTAATGTTCCAAGTGGAGTAGCCATCGAGTTAAGTTTCTGTCTTGCTTCATGTCTTAGGATTTC